CCTACATGCCCTCCACTGGGGGTCGATCCCGTAACCCAGGCATGTGCCCTGACAGGAAATCAAACCATGATCTCCTGGTTCATAGGTTGACACTCAAAAACCACTAAGTGACCCTGGCCAGGCTCTTTTTATTTATTTATTTATCTTTAATTAAAACTCTTTGTAAGTAGAGAAGATATGATGATAGCTGTTCTGGATTCCCAAGGTGTAAGCTCAGAGGATTTACTGGAAACTTTTGGCAGCTGCAGCAATCTTTCCAAAAAATCTTACAGCTGGAAGAAGCTGGCTTTATATGTGAGGGAGGGACTGGAGGACCATAGTTGTTATTCCTGAGTCTAGTTCCTAGTTAGCATTCGTTTAGCCTTCTCTAGTTGCTGATTGTCCCAGACTAGACTGTAGACCAGTGCTACTTGCACCCATAGCAGGCACATGTTTGTAGAGATGAACAAATAACCACCTGATGGTTTAAAAGCTCATTGCCCAAAGACATATTTGAAACCCTTGTAAATATGGCTCTAGTGATGAATATTCATGGCTTGATAGATTTATTATATTTTAAGGAATAAACATTTGAAGGTACACTAATCATGTAGAAATTAATTATACCAACTAACATAACTACAGGACAAATCTTTGTTCTTACCATGTATACCCCTAAACTCTCCCCTTTTTTAGGCACTCTGAAAGTAACGGGAAGAAGGAGGTACTTGAAGTTCTAGAATGACCCTGAAAAGGAGATACATATCAGAGAAGCTTAGCTAGCTTTAGATACTCATTCAAGCAGGTTATAAAATTTCCTCTCCTGTAGTCTTTAATAATCTGATAGATCTTTGAGAAGATGTTGGTGTTTTGTTTAATCAAATAAATTAGTAACCAAGTATTAGTTACCTATTGCTGCATAAGAAATTACCCAGAACTTAATGGCTCAAAACAACTCTCTTACACAGTCTCTGTGAATCCAGATTTTTGGAGTAGCTTAGCCAGGTGATTCTGGCTTGGAACTCATGAGGTTGTAGTCAGTATGTTGGCTGGGCTGCAGTGTCTGAAGACCTGAGCAAGGCTGGAAGACCTAATTATATAAGATAGCTCACTCACATGGCTGGCCAGTTTGTGCAGGCTGTTAGCATGAGGCCTCAGTTCCTTGCTTCCCCATAGTACTATTTGAATGCCCTCCTGAAATGGCAGCTGGCTTCTCCCAGATCACATGGTCCATGATGTCGTTTATGAATAGCCTTAGAAGTCATTCTGTCATTTCTATAGTATCCTATTCAGTGTGGGAGGGGACTACACAGGGGCTTGAATACCAGGAAGGTGAGGATCATTGGGGACCATCTGGAGGCTGGCCACCAAACATGGCAATATGCTGGAGGCAGAACAGAATAGATAGGAGATATGGCCCCTACCTTTTAGGAACTTGCATTCTAAAAGTAAGTCACATTGAAACCTATGGCTCAGTGTAACAACACCCATTTCATTCACCTTATTTTAAGTATCTGTTAGGTGGCAAGTATCATGTAAAGTAAGAGTAAAGAATGGCTTCAATACTTGCCTGGCAGGAGAGATACCATGATCACGAAGGTGGTTTTCCCAGGGTGAGGCTTATTTATTGCACTCTGGGTGTGCTGAACCCTGTGATTTCCTCAAATGTGGGGAATTCTACTGCATAATTTGTGGTAGTGGGGGCTGCGTGCTCTCCTGTGAGGGCGGGGCAGGGGGGAGGAATGACTTCAAGATTTTGAACCTGGTGAGTGGTAGTACAGGGCTCTTGCAGAAAAAAATATAAAAGCCAGTAGTTGAAACTGAACTAGAGAGAAAAGGACTAATACATTTTTGATGGCGACTTTATAGGCATAACATATGAGAAGACATGGGATCAATAATTAGGAAGTGTCAACAAACAGTTGCAAAAGAGTTAGTTATGGTGAGGAACAGAGCAGATGGAAGTATGAATAGTGGCGAGATAGGTTGGGGTATCTTAATATCTGTCAGAATTTTGAGAATGAGACTAAACAGCTTGGGCTTGCAATAGAAATTAATGAGGCCCCAATAAATTCAATAAAAAGGGGGAAAAGAATGAAGCAGATAACTGCAAAAAAACTAGATTTTGTTGCAACACTGGGGGAAAAAATCTTAACTTAAGCTTAAACTTTTTCACAACAACCCAGAATACTGTTACAAGTATCAAAGATTTTTAAGCATTAAATATTAACCATGAAACTATAAAAGAAGAAATTAAAGAGGATCCATTGAAAATATTTGCCTGAAAGGGTAATAAGAATAATAAAAATTACCATTGGAGCAATTTTTTTTTAGACTTTAAACTTTTTTTTTAAATTGTTTAAAGTATTACCTATGTCTCCTATTTCCCTGATTGACCCCTCCCCTGCCAAGACTGACCAGCAGACCCTGAGCTATGGATAAATGGATTACTCTGACACATGTTTCTGTGAAAGAGAAGGCTAAAGGACTGCTTGGCTATAGCAACCAAGCAGCCCCGTTCGCCTGCCTCCTTAGGCTTTTATTGTAACAGCTTGAACTAAAATTAACTATTAGATACTATCAGCAGGGTAAGCATCCTTGAGAAGACACATGCATCTGTAGTGTCCTTTAAGCAAGGATGTTCGGAAGTCTAAATATAAAGATTCCAGTGAAACACCCGGGGGCTCAGACTTGTTTGGAAAAGGCAAGGCAGGGTTTGCTGCCTTCGGTAAGGCCTTCCTAGAGGCCCCCAACCTTTTGGAGATTCCTCCTTACAGACTTTCCAACCAAGTCCCATGCTTCCCCACACTCCCTGGTCACTCCCACCCCCCAGGACAAGCCCCCACCACCCCAGTGTCCGTGTCCATTGGTTATGCTAATATGCATGCATACATGTCTTTTGGTTGATCTCTTAAACCCCCCCTCCCCCCCTTCTATCTGAGGTTGGACGGTCTGTTTGGTGTTTCTTTGTCTCTGGATCTATTTTTGTTCATCAGTTTATGTTGTTCATTATATTCCACAAATGAGTGAGATCATGTGATATTTATCTTTCTCCAACTGGCTTATTTCACTTAGCATAATGCTCTCCAGGTCCATCCATGCTGTTGCAAATGGTAAAAGTTCCTTCTTTTTTATAGCAGCATAGTATTCCATTGTGTAGATGTACCACAGTTTTTTAATCCACTCATCTGCTGATGGGCACTTAGGCTGTTTCCAAATCTTAGGTATTGTACATTGTGCTGCTATGAACATAGGGTTGTATACTAGTATGTCCTGATGGTCATTTCTGATTTCTTGGGATATAGTCCTAGAAGTGGGATTACTGGGTCAAATGAGAGTTCCATTTTTAACTTTTTGAGGAAATTCCATACTGTTCTCCAGAGGGGCTGCACCAATCTGGGAGCAATTCTTGATTGTAGGAGTTTATTTAGGGGTTAGGGCATTGACTATGACTATGGAAAGGAACAAACGTTTTTCAAGGTTTTTGTTTGTTTGTTTGTTTTTGAGAGGTGTTTTATTTGACAATTGGATGTCCCAACTCAGAATGACATATATGTGTTGATTTGAGATGATAGAGTAGAATCCTCCATGGTCTTATGAAAACTAAGTGCGTAAGGAGAAAATGGTAGAGAAGTGACAGTTTTCTTTAAGGTATGAGATGGCAGTGAAAGCTCAAATTATCTCTCAGAATGAGTTGGAAATTGAACTGTGGGAAGAAAAGCTTGTAGCAGTAACTGAAGCAGATTACTTTTAGTGATTTTGATGATGCATACCCTATATTATAGGGCCTATAAGCATAACAAGGTCTCCATGTAAGATGGAAATTTTGTGATTATCAGTAGTTATAGGGACCATGATCTTTGGTTTATGTTGGCGTTTCACTCTGACATATATTGATGGGATGAAAATTTAAAGAAAAATATATTTAAGTAACTAAAATTTTTTTTTCATGTTTCTTTCTTGGTTTGTCTTCCCACCTTTAAACACTCCCCATACCCCCATTAGGTGGTGTGGAATGGCTGCAAATCGAGGATAATGATTTCTCCAATAGACCCAACATGATTTGTAACTTTCTACATGAAAATGAAGATGAAGAAGTTGTAGCTCCAGCCCCAGATAAACCGTTGGAGTTGGAAGAGCAAAACATTCAAATGAAATTTAATTCAAACCTGAGCTATGAACAGGAAAAACCACCGCACTTGGAAATAGAGGATTCTGGTCCTCTTATTGATACTCCTTCTGAAACAGAAAGTTCTGTGTTTATGGAAACTCAAGATGCTGCCTTAGAAATCACTCCTAGATAAAATGTTTTTAATAATAGAATTTTTTAAATTTTTATACAAAATAATTGACTGCTTAGCTTTTATTTGTTCACTATTTTATTATTTTTATTGGTTGTGCACATTTTCAATCTCAGCTACAACTTAATATACCAGAATCGCCGAAACTGGTTTGGCTCAGTGGATAGAGCATCGGCCTGCGGACTGAAAGGTCCCGGGTTCAGTTCCGGTCAAGGGCATGTACCTTGGTTGCGGGCACATCCACAGTAGGAGATGTGCAGGAGGCAGCTGATCGATGTTTCTCTCTCATCGATGTTTCTAACTCTCTATCTCTCTCCCTTCCTCTCTGTAAAAAGTCAATAAAATATATTTTTAAAAAAATATCAGAATCATTAAAGACCAGATATAAATAGAATTTTTAAAAAATATGGTTGTTTAAAAAAATATATAGTTAGCCCTGGACAGTGTGGCTGAGTTGGTTGGAGTGTCCTCCCGTACACCAAAAGGTGACCAGGTTTGATTTCTGGTCAGGGCACATACCCAAGTTGTGGGTTCCATCCCTGGACAGGGCGGGTACAGGAGGCAACCAATAGATGTTTCTCACATCTGTGTCTCTCTGTCTGTCTCTCTCTTCCTCCCTCCTTCCCTTCCTCTCTAAAAAAAATCGATATAAAAAAAAACATTCTCAGATGAGGATTAAAAAAATACGGTTAAAATGACTATAGGGAACTTTCTCTGATGGTTCTTCATTTATTTTTAAAAAATATTTTTATTAATTTCAGAGAGGAAGGGAGAGATAGAAACATCAATGTTGACAGAGAATCATTGGCCAGCTGCCTCCTGCATGCTCCACACTGGAGATCAAGCTCACAACCTAAGCATATGTCCTGACTGGGAATTGAACCATGACCTCCTGGTTCATAGGTGGACGCTCAACCACTGAACCATGCTGGCTGGGCTCTGATGAGTCCTTTAAACTGGAGGTTTTACTAAGGTAGGTGTATAAGTTTTCTCTTGCAGTCATCACAAATTACCACAGCTTAGTAGATCAAAACAACAAAATGTATTTTCTTATAGTTTTGTAGGTCTGTCTGACGTGGGTCCCAGCTGGACTAAAATCAAGGTGTTGGTAGGACTTCATTCTTTTTTAAAAAATATTTTTTTATTGGTTTCAGAGAGGAAGGGAGAGGGAGAGAGAGATAGAAACATCTATGATGAGAGAATCACTGATTGGCTGCCTCCTGCACGCCCCCACTGGGGATTGAGCCCGCAACCCGGGCATATGCCCTTGACCAGGATCGAACCTGAGACCCTTCATTCCACAGGTTGACGCTCTATCTACTGAGCCAAACTGGCTAGGGCAGGACTTCGTTCTTTTCTGGAGTGGGAGCTAAGAGGTAAGGGTGGAGGATATTTCCTTGCTCATTCATTTATTGGCAGAATTCAGATCCTTGGAATGAAGGATCAGGGTCCCCTCTCCTCGCTCTCAGCTAAGTCATTCCCAGCCTCGGCTGCCTGCATTCTTTGGCTCATGGTCCCCTTCTCTTCAAAGCCAGCAATGGCAGGTCAGGTTTCCTCTCCTGCTTAACATCTGTTCTGCTTCTATTCTTTTGTGTATGTGTTAATCCTTACCTGAGGATATTTTTCCATTGATTTTTTTTTAGAAGAATGGAACCTCCGGTCCAGTTTAAGAACCCATTGTGGCCCTCGAGTCAAAAAGTTTGCCCACCCCTGCTCTAGAGGCTGCCTGCATTCTTTGGCTCATGGTCCCCTTCTCTTCAAAGCCAGCAATGGCAGGTCAAGTTTCCTCTCCTGCTTAACATCTGTTCTGCTTCTATTCTTTTGTGTGTGTGTTAATCCTCACCCGAGGATATTTTTCCATTGACATTTTTTAGAAGAATGGAAGGGAGGAGGAGAGACAGACACTTCGATGTGAGAGAGACACATTGATTGGTTGCCTCCAGCATGCACTCGGACCAGGGCCAGGGATCTGAGCCTGCAACCGAGGTATGATGTGCCCTTGACCAGAATTGAATCTATGACCCTTCAGTCCTCAGGCTGACGTTCTATCCATTGAGCAAAACCAGCTAGGGCTTGCTGCTTCTATTATCTTTGACCAACCTTTCTTGCCTTCCACCTTTAATGGTCCATTTAATTACATTGGGTCCACCTGGATGACCTCACTATTTTGTGTGTAACCTTAACTGATCTACAAAGTCCCTTTTGCTATGTAATTTAACATAAACAGGTATAGAACTGATCAGTAGAGCATGAGAACCTTTGAGGGGTGGCATTTTCCAGTCTACCATAGTAATTATACATCTGGGAAAAGAAAAATAATTCAGAAGTGCTTAAGGATAAAAGTAAAATTTCTCCTTTTTCAGCTGTAATTCCATTCCTTTCCCACTTGACTCGATTATTGGAATTCAGTTGTAAGAGCCATTCTGTTGTGATGACCTAGATCTGCTCTAATTTGTATTTTTTTTACATAAAATATTCACAAACTTTGGTACATTGTTATAGATCTACTGTATGAAATTGCCAATATTTGATTGTTTCTAAGTATAAAAAGACAATTTCATGTGGTACTAATAACTTAAAACACATCTTACATTAATTATATCTTATAACTATTGGATATAATTTTATATTATGACAGGTTAGATAACTAATGTTATAGAATGAGGAATTTTCCTTCAATAGGTTTTGTAACTTAAAAACAAACAATTTATCTTGATTTAAAACATTTCCAAACTATAAGCATGTATATCTTCCCAATTTTTATATGACTTTGGTCTCAGCTTTTGTTTAATAAAAAGCTTATTGATCAAACTGGAGAGGAGAACCAAGATGGCGGCATAGGTAAACACCTGTACTTGCTGCCTTTCACAACCACATCAAAACTACAACTAAAAGACAAAACAAATATCATCCAGAACCACGGGAAGGCTGGCTGAGTAGAAGTTCTACAACTAGAAGGAAAGAAAAAAGCGCATTGAGACTGGTAGGAGGTACAGAGGTGCAGAGGTGCGGAGGCGCTCATGAAACAGGCTGGCAACTGGGTGCACTGTTGTTGTTTTTTTCAATCGGGCGGGAGATACAAGCTCCCGATTGCTCTGAACTCCAGTTCCAGGCGAGACTCTGGGGACGCAGACTCATACGGGGAGAAACTAGACTGTCTGGCAATGGGACAGGAACATGAGGGCGGCTTTCTCTCAGATTATTCCTGCATGGGGGCTCAGGACATTGAGACTCGGGAACCTCCCTGGTGTAGGGCTGACTGGCAGCCATTGCTGTTTGCTCCGCCCTGGTGATTCCCTGAAATCCCGCCCCACCCAATTTACAACCCCACCTAAGCTGTGGGCAGCGGCTTTTGCATATGAATGGACTGTGGTTTCGTAGCCTAGCCTAATAAACTGCAGCTGGGTCAGAGAGCTCCAAAGCTTCCAAAAGAAGGCCCAAGGCTTGGCAGCAGTAGCCTGCCTTGCTTCACAGCTGGGCCTCATCTGGGCACTTCCAAACCCCAAACAAAGAGGAGGAATCTGCAGATCTAGCTGTAGCTCCTGTTGGGTGGCCTCAGGCTGTGGCTGACTTTGCACCTCCTTGGAGATCCAAGAACCAGTGTATCCAGTTGTCAGTGTGAAACCATACCAGATTACAACTCTTCACATTCGTAAGCGACACACTCAAGGGGCAGACTCAGTGAGCACCAAAGCCCCACTGAAGCAAGTCCTGCCACATAAGGGTGTCTCCAGCACAGCAGTTCTTCCATTGTAGACACAGCTGGTCCTCACAACCAATTGGCCTGGAGGTCAATTCCTCCCAGGGATACCAACAGCAATCAAGGCCTACCTATAAGTGCACACAGCCCACAAAGGGGTGCATTTCTCAACAGAAACTATGCAGGCCAGAAGCGAGTGGCAAGAAATATTCAAAGTGATGAATACCAAGAACTTACAACCAAGATTACTTTACCCAGCAAAGCTATCATTTAGAATTGAAGGTCAGATAAAGAGCTTCACAGATAAGAAAAAGCTAAAGGAGTTCACCACCACCAAACCAGGATTATATGAAATGCTGAAGGGTATTCTTTAAGAAGAGGAAGAAGAAGAAAAAGGTAAAGATAAAAATTATGAACAACAGCCTGACTGGCATGGCTCAGTTGAGCATCGACCTATGAACCTGGATGGAGGTCACGGGTTCAATTCCCAGTCAGGGTATATGCCCGGGTTGCGGGCTCGAGTCCCAGTGTGGGATGTGCTGGAGGCAGCCGATCAATGATTCTCTCTCATTATTGATGTTTCTATCTCCCTCTCCCTCTCCCTTCCTGTCTGAAATAAATAAACTCAATAAAAATATTTTTAAAAAATTATGAACAACAAAGTGACAACAAATACATATCTATCAACAAGTGAATTTAAAAATCAAGTGAATAAAAAATCTGATGAACAGAATAATCTGGTGAATATAATAGAATCAGGGGCATAGAAAGGGAGTGGAC